ATTATATAACGCTAATACCAATCATACAAATATTTTCTTTATAAACTCGAACATTTAAATATGACTATTTATAGGATAGTTATAAATGTATTAATTTTTTTTTCAAAGATTCTGGTCTGATGTCCGTTAAGGAATTGGGTAAATTTGGCAAGCTATTTATTTGTGTATTCTGACACAAGAGGGTTTTTAAAGAGTTGGGTAAAGGTGGTAAACTGGTTATCGGAGTATTGTAACAATAGAGTATTGTTAAGGATTTGGGTAATGTTGGTAAGCTGGTTATTTTAGTCTTACTGCAATGGAGCATTGTTAAGGAGTCGGGTAAAGTTGGTAAGCTGGTTATTGGAGTATTATAACAACGGAGTTCCGTTAAGTTGTTAGGTAAAGTTGGTAAGCTGTTTAATTGAGTTTCATAGCAATAGAGTTCCGTTAAGGATTTGGGTAAAGTTGGTAAGCTGGTTATTTTAGTCTCACTGCAATGGAGTATTGTTAAGGAGTCGGGTAAAGTTGGTAAGCTGGTTATTGGAATATTATAACAACGGAGTTCCGTTAAGTTGTTGGGTAAAGTTGGTAAGCTGGTTATTTTAGTATCACTACAACCAAGTACCGTTAAGGAATTGGGTAAAGTTGGAAAGCTGGTTATCTGAGTCCGTTAAGTTGTTGGGTAAAGTTGGTAAGCTGGTTATTTTAGTATTACTACAACCAAGTACCGTTAAGGAATTGGGTAAAGTTGGTAAGCTGGTTATTTTTGTATTACTACAACCAAGTACCGTTAAGGAATTGGGTAAATTTGGCAAACTGTTTATTTGTGTTTCAAAACACCAGAGCGTTTTTAAAGAGATGGGTAAAGTTGGTAAGCTGGATATTTGAGTATTGTCACAACTAAGTATTATTAAGGAGTTGGGTAAAGTTGGTAAGCTGGTTATTTTTGTATTACTACAACCAAGTTCCGTTAAGGAGTTGGGTAAAGTTGGTAAGCTGGATATTGGAGTATTGTAACAATAGAGTTCCGTTAAGGAGTTGGGTAAAGTTGGTAAGATGGTTATTTTAGTCCCTCTGCAATCAAGTAATGTTAATGAGTTGGGTAAAGTTGGTAAGCTGGTTATTTTAGTCCCACTGCAATTAAGTAATGTTAAGGAGACGGGTAAAGTTGGTAAGCTGGTTATTGGATTATAATAACAATAGAGTTTTATTAAGGAATTGGGTAAAGTTGGTAAGCTGGATAATGGATTATTGTAACAATTGAGTTCCGTTAAGGAGTTGGGTAAAGTTGGTAAGCTGGTTATTTTAGTCACTCTGCAATCAAGAAATGTTAAGGAGTCGGGTAAAGTTGGTAAGCTGGTTATTGGATTAAAATTACAATAGAGTTTTATTAAGGAATTGGGTAAAGTTGGTAAGATGGTTATTTTAGTAGAACTACAATTTAGTTCCGTTAAGGAGTCGGGTAAAGTTGGTAAGCTGGTTACTTTAATCCCTCTGCAATCAAGTAATGTTAAGGAGTCGGGTAAAGTTGGTAAGCTGGTTATTTTAGTTCCTCTGCAATCAAGTAATGTTAAGGAGTCGGGTAAAGTTGGTAAGCTGGTTATTGGATTACAATTACAATAGAGTTTTATTAAGGAATTGGGTAAAGTTGGTAAGCTGGTTTTCTGAGTATTATTACATCGGAGTACTTGTAATTTTCGATATCTTTGCAATCCTCCTAATGAGTTTAATATGTCCTCGTTGGTATTTGTAATGGTTAAATCAATAGTATCATCATAAATAATTGATTCAAGATTTCTGATTCTCTTCTCTAATTCGATAATAATTGTTTGCTTTTCCTTGGATACTTCTTCTCGTTCTCTAAACTTTTCTTCATAGTTATTAATGATTTCTTGCTTAGCTTTGGTTTCTTCTCTAACCTTTTCTTCTAAATTATTTATAATTTTTTGCTTGGCTTTGGTTTCTACTTCTCGCTCTTTAACCTTTTCTTCTAAATTTTTAAATTGTGAACGTAACGCTTCGTTACTTTGCTCTAACTCCTTAATTCTCATTTCCAAGTCATTTAGGGATTTTTCTAAATTTTTTTTTAAAACCATTTTTTTTTTTGAAATCATTCTTCGGATTGGTGGTGCTTTTATTTTTTTTTTTTTTTGCTGCACCAATAGAAAATTGCTCTTTACTCAGCCCTCGGTTAAATTTTTTCCCAGTTGCCATTGTTTCCATAAATTCCATAAATAAACTAGTCTGCTTGAATTACTTTCCAAATAAGTTAACTATTTCCGCCCATAATAATAATGAACTAATAATTATTATGTAATCATCATTCTCCGATTTCGTAGAAATATGGGAGCTGATCTATTAAAAGTGGGTTACGAAACATATGATCCGAACCTCAATTTTAATAGAATACTACCCATAGGGCGATCCAAAATCGTCAAAATAATAAAAAACAAAATATTTATCAAAATTATAATAATAATAGCCTTATTGAAAAGCAACTCGAAAAGACCCTCCGTCACGAATCGAAAAGAAACTAAAAATATAAAAATTAGAATAATTAATAATCAATCATGTAAATTGTAAAGAACAAATAATAATTTATTGATTGTTTAAAAAAAAAATTTTTTAAAAAAAAACCGAATTACCTAAAACACGTAAGAAAGAGAAACATAAAGAAAGAAAAAGAGCCATTCAAAAATACAGTCCTAAACCAAAAATGAAACCAAAAAAAAAAAATTAAAATGACATTGGATAAAAAGAAATAAAAGGCGCAAGAATTTTTTTGGAAAAATCGTCGATCCCTAAATTTTTTTATAGTTTCGACCAGATTTATAATTTATATTAGGAATATTTTCGGGAAAAAAAAATTTCAGATAAAAGAAGTAGGTTTTAATTATTAAGCAGTTCATTTTTCTGTTTATTAATGAAATTAATAAACAGTGGGAAATTGATTAACATTATGCTAACGATAACTCATATTGCAAGGCTAGTATAATGTTAGTAATGAACCTTATTAATGTTTAATGTTTCTATTTTATTAGACAAAATGAAGAAGTGATAAATGTAGAATTGAGCATATATCGGAAGGGGACAAAGTATTGTACAGTTAAGAGAATCCATTCGCATTACTAATCTGAGTTTGTTTTATGGTATTTTGCTCATCGGTTTTTTTTTGAATAAGTGAGGTGGGGTAAGTTAACGATTTAATAAAAATTACAATACCCCGTCCGTTGTATAAATTTTTTTTTATATGCTTAATATATTAAAATTATATTTTTTTAATAAATATAGAAAACTAAAGTTATTAATTGTGAAGGATCTTTAAATTTACACTTTTAAAAAAATTAAAACCCATTAAGCTATATATTCTTTCATTGCTAATTATTTGGACATGTCACATGGCCGATCACATCTCAAATTAAAATCGTTGAATTCTTTTTTTTTAAATGATTTTCGATTCTAAGACAATTTATTTTAATTCCGTTTTGCCGAAATACTAATGATAATGAAAATACCCTTTTGTATACATATCGATCGATTTAATTTAATAAAAAGTTATAAAATGGAAAAAAGAAAATCACTCTTTTTTTTACATTGTAAAAAAAAACTTTATTTTTTTTATCCGACTTCGTTACATTTTATCAATATATTAAACAATTTATTGGTAAGATATTTTATCTACGATTGCATCGATTTTTTGAATTCGAATTGTGATTATGTTCTATATTTTTTTACAATTGAATTAAATAAATGTTCAAGAAGAGTTATTCGAATCGATTTTTTCAATTACTACGTAACTTACTCGTTATCTTTAATTCTTTTCTCTTTTTTTCTCCATATTTACTTTCACTCATCTACCATTTTATTTTTTTTTTATGTTTCCATGATATTTTCAGGAATGATTTAACAGATGCTACAAGAGGTCTCGTAAGAGAATTTGTAGAAAAACACTGTAATCACAAAACTTTTAATAGCGAATAATGGTATAGCGGCTGTTAAAGAGATTAGATCTATTAGAAATGGGCTTATGAACATTTGGGAATGGAAGTTAACTGTGATGACTACTACTGAAGATTTAAAGATTATTGCTGAATGTATTCGTATGGCTGATGGTGGTTCTAATAATAATTATTATTATGCTAATGTTTCATTAATTGTTGATGGCTGGCTGGGAAGCATCATTCTAAAAAAAAAAAAAAAATTTAATAATAATACCGTGTATATATATTAATTTTCTTTTAATCTAATGAAATATGATTTGATCTTCTCATATATAGAGAACATGCATCCGAGAACCGAATCATTAGCGCAGAGTAAACATAAGATAGTTTTAATTGGTCCTCTCGGTTCAGTGATGCGTACGTTAGGTGATAAAATATCATCTACGATCGTTGCTAAAGGATTGGAGTGGTAATGGTGTCATCCAAACTGAATTTGATGAACTAGGTCATGATATTGTTTCCGAGTGTTTACGACGTGTCATGGACGTTGATGATGGGTTAAATAAAGCAAATATCATTGGATTTCCTATTATGATCAAAGCTTCAGAGGGTGGAGGAGGAAAAGGAATTAGAAAAGTGGAAAATCCAGATAATTTTAAGCAAGCATTTGCTCAAGAGTTCCTGGTTCACCGATTTTCATCATGCGACTTGCTCGAGATGCTCGTCATCTCGAAGTTCAAGCTTTAGCGGATCAATACGGAAATGCGATCTCCTTATTTGGAAGAGATTGTTCGTTTCAAAGACGATCATTGAAGAGGCTCACGTTACGATTAAAAAACAAGAGACATTTGAATTGATGGAAAGAGTTGCTGTCAGATTAACTAAATTAGTTGGTTGTGTTTGTGCGGGAACCGTTGAATATATTTACAGTCACGAGAAAGATTTTTTTTATTTTCTTGAATTAAATCTAAGATTACATGTTGAACATCCTACGACAGAAATGGTTTCAGGTGTTAATTTACCTGCTCAACTACAAATCGCTACAGAAATTCCATTTCATTAAATTCGTGATATTAGAGTTGAGAATGTGGATGTCATTTTCCATAAGTAAATGAACCAATCGTTTGGGTTTACTGCATTTTTGTGTGATATGTTGAAGTTTTTGGGCAGCTTTTAAATTTCGTATAACGGCGAAAAATCCTGATGTCAGGATTTAAACCAAGTAGTGGTATGAAGTAGTGGTATGGTGCATGTACTTAATTTTCGCAGCAGCACGAATTTTGGGGACGATTTTCGGTTAATTATGCCGGTGGCCTTCATGAGCTTGATGATTTCAATTTGGTCATATTTTCGCTTATGAGGAGAATCGTCAAAAATCTCGAAAGAATATGAATATGATAGTCGCTCTTAAGTAATTGTCGACTCGTGGGGACTTTAAAACCACAGTGGAATATTTAGTCAAATTTCTTGAAACACAAGCTTTCGAAGAAAATAGTTTTACAACGGAATGGTTGGCGATCATGTAAAAAAAGGTGAGGATTACAAGATTATCGATTCGTAAAAGAATCATTTTAAGTTTTATTTTTTTATATCATCTAAATTAATTAACATTGATTATTATTTAGGTGATCAAAATGTACATGCCGCTTATCGCAACAGATGGGATTATTGTTCAATTTATAAAACAACAAAATTCTACGCTCGAATCCGGTGACATTATTGGAATTCTCACTAGTCGAGTTCGTCACGCGTTACCTTTTGAGGGACAACTTCCTGTAATGAATCCGCCTATTTTAGTCGGTGCCAAAGCTCATCAGAGGCCAAGCATATCCTTGAATGTATATTAGATGGTTATGATAATCAAGCAATGTTACAAAGAAGCGTCAAAGAATTAATTGAACTTTTAGAAAATTCCGATCTTGAATCTCATGCAGTATTTTCAGCACTCTCCGGAAGAATCCCGGCCAAACTTGAAGCAGCTTTATTGAGGATTTTTATGAGACGCATAGTCAAGGATTAGAATATCCTGCTAAACGATTAAAAGAAATGATTGATAATTATTCTCTCTATTTTGTCAAACCTTCAGACCTTTCAAGTTTAAATCTGTGGTCGCTCCCGTGAATGACATTTTTGAACGATATATTTGTGGTCTAAAGCACCTGAAATGGAATGATATCCTTATTTGTTAAGAAAGTATCATGATTATGTTTTATTCTCGAATTCTGACAAACGTGAAGAAGAAGCTGTCTATGTTTTACGGGACGAATACAAGAATAATCTGGACAAGGTCGTCTCTATTGTTTTGCCACATTCCAAAGTTGAGTCAAAGAATAATCTGATATTACATCTTTTAGATCAGATTAGGCCCGCAAATGTTGGACAAGCCCTTGACAAATCTATTCACCGATTTTGAATTAATAGGCGGAACTTGGAGGACGTTTCGCAACCAAAGTTGCATTGAAGACGCGTGAATTGTTGATTCATTGTCATTTACCTTCTTATGAAGAAAGTATTGAAGGCTGCAGAGAGATGATGATTATAATTACCGAACCATAAGATATGATTCTCTCAAAGAATTAATTGATACTCGATTTGCTGTTTTCGATGTTCTTCCGAATTTCCTTTATCATCAAGATAATTGGGTTGGGCTTGCCACATTAGAAGTTTACGCCCGACGCGCTTATCGTGCCTATCAACTTATAAACGTTTAATACCAAGCCCCATTTATGGTCTCTTTGAACTTCTCACTTCATAATGCTACGACTGATAGTCCAACTGATTCGGTCGAAAGCCCCTCGTTTTTTAGTATGAGATGTTCAGCTTCAATATCAGATTTAAGTTATTGATTCCGAAAACCGAGAATGAACACTTTGTGTTGGCGTCATGATTTCCTGCATTTTGAATGAAGAAATAGAAAGAAATATACCACGAATTTAAAACTTTTTCCAAAAATACAAACTGTCCAAGGATGGAAATCTCAGGATCCATCAGATAGATACAATATAAATAATGTTTTGAACTTCGATTTAAGGCTGGAAGATGATGCTATAGAGGATGAAGCTTTGAAAAAAACAATTCAAACCCCTTATACAACGACATTCTTATGAATTACGTGAACATGGGATATGAAGAATTACTATTGTCCAATTTCGTAAAGGTCAATATCTCGGGTATTTCACGTTCCATGAAATAACAGATATACTGAGGATCAAACAATTCGTCATAACGAACCAGCCATGGCCTATCAACTTGAGCTTATAAGGTTAATCAATTTCGATATTACTCCTTGCTTTACCGACAATCGACAGATTCACGCTTATTATGCCGTTGGTAAAGAAAATACTTCGGACTATAGATTTTTTATTCGATCCTTAGTTCGTCCTGCAAGGTTGCGAAATAGCGTGAGTACGGCGGATTATTTAATCTCGGAGTCCGACAGATTATTGAATTAGATTTTGGATTCGTTAGTTCAAAACATAAGAATTCAGACTGCAATCATTTGTAAATTTCATTACAACATTTGTGTTAGAACCAAACAAGTTGAGGAAGCTGTTAAAGGCTTTATTGATCGGCACGGCAAAAGATTATGGAGATTGCGTCTGACCGGATCCGAAGTTCGTTTCAAAGTTGAAGACCCTACATTAGGAACAAGTTATCCTTTACGTGTCATCATTAATAATGTCTCCAGGTATGTTGTTAAAGTAGAAACTTATCAGGAGGTACAGAACTTGAAAGTTGGATTCTTAAATCAATTGGTCGACAGGGTTCAATCCAACCCACACAAAAGAATGGCTTCAACCAAGGCGTTATAAGACTCATTTGATGGGTACCGAATTATTTCGCCAAGCTATTAGAATACTATGGAATCGTGCATCTCATCATAGTTCAAACCTTAAATATTCTAGTGATGTTTTGGAAGCCAATGAAATTGTGCTTGACGAGAATAATAATTTACGAGAAGTGGAGAGAGCTTCTGAACGAATTCATTTGGTATGGTTGCAAATATCTTTACTCTTTTTACCCGAATATCCCAAAGGTAAAAAGATTATCGTGATTGCAAATGATATCACATATCACACACATTGGTTCTTTTGGTCCTTTAGAAGATCAATTTTTGGAATACCTAGAGCATATTTGTCAAGGATTGGATTGGCGGGAGAAGTTATGAATCATTTTAACGTTGCATTGATTGATAAAGGAAATCCAAGTAAATATATCGAATATCTTTATCTTGATTTGGAGACATATAAGCAATTACATCAAAATGGAAGGAAATCCGTTATCGCGGAAAGGAAAGAAACACGTCATAAAATCACCAATATTATTGGATCAAAAGATGGGCTTGGTGTTGAATGTTTAAAGGGTTCAGGATTAATCGCTTGGATAGCATCGCACAATAACGTTAGTTACTTGTCGTTCAGTTGGTATGTATTTATTGCAAGTCAATTTTTAAAAAAAAAATTTTTTTCTTTAAACTTATTATTTTTATTAAGGTATTGGAGCTAAGTAAGATTGGGACAGCGTACTATTCAAAATGAGGGTTAATCCATAATATTAACGGAGCACCAGCATTGAATAAAGTGTTGGGAAGAGAAGTTTAAACAGGAAATCTACAACTTGGAGGCACGCAAATTATGTTTAAGAATGTAGTTTCATATCTGACTGCACAAAATGATTTGGAGGGTATTACAAAGATTATGCAATGGCTTTATTACGTCCAGCAGTTGTATTTCTTCTGTACCAATATTTATGAATTCAGATACTTGGGACAGGGATGTTAATTATATGCCTCCCAAAGGGCCTTACGATCCAAGATAGTTAATTGCGGGCAAATTACCCTTAATGATTCGTGTATTTTCAGGTGGTCAAAGGGACATGATTCTAAAATATGTATCTTATATCGTGGATGCACTTACCAACTACAAGCAATCTGTATTTGTTTGTATTGTTCAAACGGAGAACTTCGTGGTGGTGATTGGGTTGTAATAGATCCTACCATTAACGATGATATGATGGAAATGTACGCCGATGAAAAATCAAGAGCTGGAGTACTTGAACCCGAAGGAATTGTAGAAATCAAATTCAGAAAGCCACAATTGCTCGCAACAATAGAAAATGTACCGTAATCTTAAGAAATCATCAAATGATCTGACAATATCTGAATCGCAAAAACGAGAAATTAAATTGCAGTTGGATGCAAGGGAACAAGAATTATTACCGATATATTCACGAATGGCGATTCAATTTGCAGATTTACATGATACACCAGGAAGAATGAAATCCAAAGAAATGATAAGAAAATTGTTAGAATGGAAGGAATCTAGAAGATTCTTTTATGTGTTTGGAGAAGGTTACATGAAGAGTACATATTTAGAGATTTGATCAAGGCAAATTATAAATTGACTAGAAACGAAATAAATTGGTTTAAAAAGGATAATAATATTGAAAGCGATAATAATGAATTTATTTGATTGGGAAGAAGGAATTGTGAAATGTTTTGAAAAAACCTTGGATGATGATAGTGATGATGATGATGGTGATATTACCGTAATACCGAAAATAACGATTAATGAAAGAATTGAACAAATTAAGAAATGAAGCTATAGCGCAAATATTTTAGACATGAGTGAGATTAATTCGAAAGCAGTTCTCCAGGGTTTTGAAAAATTCTTTGCATAGAAGAAAGGTATAATTTTTTAGGAAAATTAACAAATGGTGAGGAGAATAATTATAAATGAAAATTTAGTTGGGAATAGAATTCAACCATCTTTTATTAAATTAGTATATAAAGTATATAAATGTATTCTTTACATATTAAATAATGAATTTACATGCTGATTTTCGTTTACATCAACCTTTTAATTTTTTAAAACAATAAAATGATACGTAATTAATTTAATCACGTTTTAAAATTATATCCAGTTAAAATGGAGTAATTAGGATATGACTCATTTATTTACGAATGACGTAATTTGATCGTTATGATTGTTCATTGGCCAACTTTCTTGAAAAAATAAATAAAAGATCTCACAAACTTCCTTTCTACCTTTCTTTACTTCTTTATTTTTTTTGGTGGATATCTTTTTTGTATTTTATTGATAACAAAAATTTAAAAAGGAGTTAAAACAAAAAAATAACTTAATATTTTATTATTTCAAGTGATCTTATCTTTTAAACGATGACTCAGCGAACACGACAGGTGCGCGTTCAAGGTGAATCGTGCGATTGTCGCGCCAAGGCGACGTTTAGTTTCAACTTCTATCCCCCCTTTAGTTCCTTCTTCTATCCTTTCAACGGCTGTACCTTCTTTCATTCCCCCTTCTTCTACAGCTGTTCCTTCTTCTTCCTCCTTCCCTCTTTTTTCAGTTTATTCTTCAGTTTCTCCCTCTCCTTCGCCCTCTTATTCTTCCCCTTTGCTTTCAGATTCTTCCCTTGCCCCTTCCCCTTCTTCTTCTTCCATAAATTTATTTTTTTTCAACACTCTCCCAACCTTTCCCCTCCTAAGTTTATCCCTACTCCTTCTCCCTCTTCTTTCCCTATTCTGGGACCTTTTAACGTCTCCCCTCCCATTTCCACTCCTCCTTCTTACTCCTCCTTAATTTCTTCCACCCTTCCCAATTTTCCTCCTTCCTTCCCTTCCTCCTCTTTTTCTTCTTCCTTAAGCTTCCCTTTTCAACTCCTTCTATTTCTCCCACTTCTTCTTCCACTTCTTCTACCCCCTCTTATATCCTTCCCATTTTTAATCGCCCTTATGTACATTATTGTATTCTAAGGTGGATCTTGATCCACCTGGCATTATTGTAGAAACCCATTTATTCACCCTATAGCCAGTAGCCCGAACCAATGGATCTTGATCCTTCTGATATATATGTGGCCATTGATTTTGATTTTTATCCGTTCCTCCTCCATTTTTAACTGGTCATATTTTTTTCTTTTCGTCGTCTTGGCCGGCACTCAAAAAAGATTTCAAAATATTTTTTTAAAAAAAAAATATAAAAAAAATATAAATCCCCTTTAATAATTTCACTAGGGTGTTTATCTCATGATAAGCATATCTACAATACAAAGTATTGTATTTATCATACAATCAATTTTCTATAGTGAATTTTGATATAACGAATTTTACAATGCAACAAATTTTCAGTGTAGTACAGATTTTTAAATATAGAAAAATTTTTTTTTTTTTTTGCTTTACTAGGATCGCGATAATGATTACATGGTTCGCACAGCTCACAAGTAGCTATACGACTTATTTGTGATGAATCACAGCACCCCTCTTTGGCACTTTTAAGCCCAGTGTGAGCATGTGATTCCTAGGTACATGATTATTAAATACCCGAGTAGACTGCCACATCACAAATTTGTGTCACTCAGAGAATCGAACTCCAGCCTTAAAACCCTAGTTGTAATATAGGCATTACGATGATTAAAGACACTACAATATCAATCACCTATAACCTGCGGCTTTTGTTCAACCTAAGTTATACAGTACCTACCATTGATCCTACCCTCACAGGTACCCTTTGCAGACGATGCGTATTTGTCCATTACAGACCAGCCTCACTATCGGTTCTAAACTCAATTGGTTCACAATAGGTAAGAATATCTATTATCACTACCTGTTGTCAGGATGGTATGGATCTAGATGAAGCAAACTTACACCTTTTGGTGGTAGCTACCATCACACCTTATAGACATCTCAGGGTCACTATATTCTACAAATTCGTGATCTTTAATGTACATAGTATGTACACATCTTATGATATTCATTCCTGAAATCAAACTGGTAAATCCCGCAAACTTAATTTGTTGCGATTTGCCTTAGTCAGGGGCTGAACTAGGGTCTATTGCAGTGTAACCTATGATAGGGCTTAGCGATTTACCGCTAAGCTAGAACCGCCAGATTCTATATTGAAAAAATCTGCTATATTGAATTTAGTAAACTAAAATTTATATTATGTTTAACAGGTGTGAGAACTTGTCAAATAAATGCTTATATAAAAGGGTTTCTTACCATCAACATTAGAGCAAGTTTGTTCACGAAAAAAATCTGGCAGCATTAAGTGTGGTTTTTCAACCATCATCTGAAGAACAAGTAATTCCTAATATTGAAGGTAATAAATAATATGTCATGATACTCTCCTTAACAAATCTTATTCTTACAATCCAAATGCTAATATAATTACGAACCTTCCAGAAAAATTTATTCTTTCCGATATCAACCAATATAATCTTATTTACAACAATTTCAAAATTAAAGACATTTTGGATGATTAAGTTGGATTGTTCTTCAAGAAATTGCATAAAGTTGTCATGAACAAAAAAACCAAAATAAACACAGTTGAGTTGCATACTAATGATCTAATGAGGTATAGTCAAACCTTTATATAATGATACAGATATTTTAAGAAAAAAATATCGGTATATCAAGTTATTGGTATATTATATTATGTAATAATATTTGTATATTATATTGATCAATATTGGTATAAATAATAAGTCAATCAGATTTCAATAATAAATATTTTAAGAAAATGTTGATTTTTAAAGCAATATTATTTAATAAATCAATAAAATTACTATATAATCCACAATTTTATTCTCTTTATAACGAATATTTAAACATAGCAATTAAATAAAAATTGAGTAACTTTTATTAGAAAAAAAAGTGTCTTTGAATTTTACTAAATGCATATAAAAAATATATTTTACCACTATATCCCTTCTCTTTATTACATAGTTTATTCATTTGTTTTGCATACACATTCTTTTTGTTTTGATTTCAAAAATGGTTCAAATATGTGATCACATATATATAACACATATGTTTATATTTATGATTGTGATCGCAATCACAATCACATAACATATAAAATATAAATGTTATTATTTTTATCTTTATTTAGCAATATTAATTTTTACAAACCTTTCATACCATATTACATTTATTATGAAAAAATGATTTTATGGTATTTTTTATATTAAAAAAATTTTATTTTGTAAAATTTAAACAATATTATAAATCATGTGATATTATATATCATTATAAATAGATTTTATATCGTTATATGTGAATATCTTTATATTATAATACTAAGAGTATATGTGGTATTTGTATTATTTATCATAATACAAAATAAAGAAATTTATTAATTAAATCCATATATAAAGCTAATTTAATTATAATTGTTTTAGGCAAGATATTTTTTATCATTATAAGACATTATTGTTATATAATAGCATTGTTATAAACAACTTTAACTATGTATATTAGAACGCATTGTTGACTTTAATACTTTACCTTTGGTGTTTAAAATGAACTGAAATTTAATCTACACGTTATGAAAAATCCATGCATTACAGCCAAATCTAAATTTGTTGTTGAAAAAAATGATATAGTTATGATAATTGTGAAGGTTTGTATAATTTGGATTATTTGACAATCTATTATATTTTGTTGACTCAAACAACTTTTTATAGGACAAATACTTACAAAATGTTGAATCTGGAAATGATTTCAGAGAAATGCAAATTGCAGCCAAAATTCTCGCTTGCATTGTAACAGTGTAAAATTTTGGCTAAAATCTGATTACAAATCCAATATCAATTAAATGTCTTTGTTTATCATCTCGTCAATCCTGATGTTAACTTTATGTTCTGAGATAATCAATGTGAAACATTGTAGATCCAAATGTCAATTTTATTTCCAGTGTAATGGATAACTTTATTGACATGATCATCTTTGCTGATCGATTTTGTTAACTTTATTTCCTTAACGATATCATTTATTTTTTTATAGATATATTTAGTTTAGTTTATTTTATAATTATCAAACATGCATAAATATTACTTTATTTTTATTAAGTCTCGATACCTTACGATGTTAAGCTTAAACTGTTCGTCGTTAAGTTAACAAAGATTATTTGCTAGCAAAGAGTTTAAGTACGTGTAAACTATGGAAGAAATAAACACGAAAAGTTAAATTGAAGGGTCAGATCGTCTTTATTGATATAGATTCAAAGAAGAATGAAGTGTTTTACAAGTAAAGATAAGGTTTAGAGATAAATGTTATTGTTTTATTAAAGAATTGATATTGACTCTGCCATTTAGCAGGTCAAAGATATAGAGTATTTATACAAAATAAAATAATAGTAAATAAGATATGATAAATAAGATAAATATAATAAATATAATAAATATAACTAATCTATCTAAACTAACAAATATAATATATATAACAAATATAATAAATCTGATAGATCAGTCAAATATGACTAATATGTCATATTTGTCAGATTTGTCCAATTTGTCATATTGGTCAGATCGGCTAACCAATTCAAATCATATGATTGGCTATAGTTGATTGGCATAGCATGGATCACGCCTTCAATCTTCCCCTTCTAAATTTTGAGCTCCTGACCAAATGTTGGTAGCTTCATCAACTATGGATCGATAAGATTTACTTGATAAACGATAAATATCTTTCAAGGTTACATTCTTAGTCCTTTGAATTTGATCTACCCCTAAGATTTCAAACAAGTAGTATATTCAAATTGATACATGACTATAATATTTTGTGAGAAGTCCTCTTAATTGACTTCTTTAAGATGGAGTAGTTATTTCAGTTTCAAGTAGTTGACCTAAATAATAGGCATTAGTTAAGGTAAAAATTCAATCTCTTAATCTTGTTGACCTTAGTAGCATTCGATATGTTGCTAAGATTTTCTTTTGCATATTTGATTCAGTTGAATAAGGGGGAAAAGTAGGTATTATTTCCAACGGTAAGGTTGCTTTTAAGTCTTCGATGATTAGTTGTTCCATTGATAAAAATTTTGTAGAGATGAAAAAAAAAATAAAAATTCTAAAGTGTATTTTGAAATGGAGATTCTTTATATACTTTTAAAAGATCTCCATTTACTGGGGTATGGAATACAAGACCATCTAATTCTCTTATCTTGTATGACCCATTTAATAACAGTTGATGGATGTAATAAGGTCCTTTCCATTTTTGGTCTAATTTTTTTGAATGTGTTTTGTCCTTAGCAGCTTCAAAGTACAAAACCTTATCTCCAATATTATATGTAGTAGAGATTCTTGTATTTTGTCATGATATTTCTTTTGTTTTTATTATGCAAGTTATACCTGTATTTTTGCTTCTTGTCGTACTAAGGGCAATTTGTTAATCAGATGATCAATTTGTTTTTGTAAAGAAAAATCTTGATTGGTGCAAATATTATTTAGATCTTCAGGATTATCAATTGGTAACGTTGCATTTCTTCCATAAACTAAATAGAAAGGTTCAATTTTTGTAGATGATTGCTTACTTGTACGATAAGCAAATAATACTGGTAAAATGTATTGGTCCCATTGAGTAGATTTTTCTACTAATTTAGCCAAAGATTCGCATAAAGTTCTATTGAATCTTTCTACTAATCCATTAGTAGCATAATAATAGGCTTTTTGGCACATTTCGTCCAAATGCTTTCAGAAGGTTGTCCTAGGTATCATATTTTCTTTCATATAGCTACACAAAGCTCAAATCCTTTTTAGATTCCTATTTGATATCATATCTATTTTAAAGTTCGCATCCTATTGCTTTCTATCCTGAAAAATCAGAAATTTTTAGCAAATTACGTTCAAATGAATTCAGGAGGTCAACTTGAGTATCATAATTTTTCATTCATAGTATAATCCCATTGTAAATATACATGTGACCTTAAGGAAATCAATTTGCTTTCTTGATTGTTATTCACTCTGTAATCTTAGCTTCTCATATGTAAAAATAATTTTTCACTT